GGGGGGGGGGGGCGGTTGGGAATCAAGCATAAATCTACTCCATTTTTATCAGACGTGATTAACTGTTTGAAAGGTTAACATTTCAACAGCACCGTGGCCACATCCTGTCAAAGTTTAAGAAAGTGAAATGCAAACTTTCCTGAGAGGGCCAAACATACTCATCTCAAGATTTAAATATACACAGTACTTATTTTACTATCACGAATAGCTTCAAATAAAATATTTAGGACTGCAACCAGTAGTAAAAAATTATTCAATTTGCTTGAGTGCTCATAGTATTGGGATGCAAGTGAAGTCTATAAAAACTAAGTATATAAACCACTTGACCACATGATTATCAAATAAAATACTAAATGGTGGCTGTCTCTCAGGAAGGGTGGATTCATTCCCATTTCTTACATACAATGGAACAATGAAAGGCTGCAAACTTACCTCTTTGCTTTTGGGCTAGGTCTAAATCATTGGTTATATTTACATTAACTCTTACTAAAAAACAAAGTATTTGGCCATGTTGCTCAAGGTCACTCAATAACCTCATCAAAAACACCCAAAACTGCTCATACATAAACTAGTGGCTTTTAAATTGTATGGACTTAAAAAATTATATAAATTATGCTAACATTTATCATCTGGAATCTCTGAACTACAAGAAGGGGAGAAAGCCTCATCAATAGAGTCACTTACGGCACAGAAGAATTTACTGGCGAATGATCACACACTACCAAGATAGCCCAATTAAAATTCTTCCACTTTTATGTAATTGTGTGTTAAGACTGCCCCTGAAAAATCTTCTGTTCTTTTTGTAGGAATTGTGCTTAGATGCTACATTTCTTTTTTGAAAAAGAATTAGCTGGAGATTATTTTTTTTCTGGACAACAGAAACCAGTATAGCTGGAAAGTTAAACGTGACTGAAGATCAACAAAACAGTTATATACAAAAATAAATATTTTTACATAAAATACCTTACCTTCTGTATACGAACAAGGTACCTTCTATGTCAGTCTTCTCCTACAACAGACAGCAATGATTTATTTCAACTATATGTCTGCTTACACAGTTACGCAGCTTGCTGACTAAAACCATGATAAATTGATTCCACCTTCTCAAAAGGGACAGAGTATAATTCTCTTGTATTTCACATATTTTCCTAAAACTATTAGGCAATGTGGTTATATACATCATTTGGCCTGCATGAACAATATTATTCCCTTGTTAGTAATAAGTAGTATCCTGTAATTCCCTCGTGTGCAAACCAAACCAGCAAAGGAAAAATTCAAAGTTTTCCTTGGAAATCCCATTTTGGGGCAGACAACGATACATTTAATTCTGCAAACAACCAGAAGAATATACCCTGTCATGTAAGAAGACCTAAATGGCGATTCACATATAATTGCTGTCAAGTCAGCATACCGTTTGTTCTCTCTGAATCATTCACCGATATCCCGTTCTACTCATTCATTGTGACTTTGTTTAAACCAGGGATAGGAAACCCCCGACGGGTGCCAGAGTGTAGCACATGGAGGCATTTTGCTTGGCACGCATGTTTCTGGGCAAAGGGTGGGGAAGAGGCCAGGTCTGCACAGCCACAAGGACTGGACCCCTGGCAGCTCCCATGCTCTCTCTCCCTGGCACACCAACATCTTATGCAGTAAGGTTACAGGTGTTTGGGGCGCTTTGCCCAAAAATGCTACCGACCCCTGCTTTAAACACTAAAAGTTAATGAAAAGAAAACCTCACTGTGGTGCCCCCCTGCACAAGAAGGGCTTTCGCAGGAGCATGTCCTTAACTGAGGACTTGTGTGTATGAAGCTACACACTTGCTTCAGCGGAGGTGGGCAGGGGTGAGGGGGTCTGAAAAGGAAGAGAGGCATAAGCCCGCCAGCTCCAGCCTCTAACTGTGAGCCTCTGTAACTTCAGAAACTCTTAACGCCAGCTCACATCACTCATTTCTGTTCGGGAAACGCAGCAGGCACCGAGAGTTTCTCCCCCCCCCCCGCAGCGGGAAAACCTTCCTGGGGGAAGATCCTGCCCCCGCGGAGAGACGTTTCTTCAACGCCTTCCGCCGGCCACCAGCCCCGCGGCTGTCAGCAGCTGCAGCTGCACGGACAGGCACCTCCGGGCACTCCAGGAAAGGCTGTTTCGCTCAAGACGAAGGTCCCCGCCGCGTGGGCCCAGGGGGAGCCGCCGAAGCTCCAGGCTGGTCAGGCAGGGCCCCGCGCAGGACGGGCACGACGCGACCCCCGGCCCGGGACCGCACGTACCCACTCGTTGGCCTTGTGGCTGAAGCTGTAGAGCGCGACCTGGCCCGTGACGTCGGCGATGCTGGTGATGTAGGGGTCGTGCTGCTTTAAGGCCGCCAGGCTCATCTCCTGCCCAGCTCGGCTCAGCGCCTCCATCTTGGATCGCGGGAGGAGCCGCGGGCGGCAGCGAGACCTGAACGCGGAGCGACAGCTCAGCCGTCCCCGCCGTCCCCCGCGCGCGCGCGCCCCGCGCCTTCCGTTCCGCCGAGCTTAGTTCCGCCCGGCCCGGCCCGGCCCGGCCCGGCCCCTCGGGCTCCTCCACGGCCAGCCCGGGGCTTGTCCCGCGGGAATTAGAGCCCGGCCTAAGGGGGGTGAACATCTCCACACCGGGCCTCAGGCGTGTTGAACGTGGTACTTCTTCGTGAGAAGGATCTGGTGGGTAGCGAGGAGGAGCCCGGAGAAGCGAGGGCGAAGGGGTCCTGCCATCTGCTTGGCCAAGGGCCGAGGTCGTTCCTAGTGTAGGGGAGAAGAGACCAGGAAGAGGAGCCCTGCGCTAGTACGGATTTAAACAACCCGTGTAGCGTCTCCCCAGGTTGTCGCACTGCTACACCAGGTATTCGCCAGGTGGTATTCAGTTTTGGTCCTCTGGTCCTCTTCGCCTCTTTCATTTTCTCCTCTCACAAAATTGGAATTCAGTGAATCTCTCTTTTCTGCCTTTTTTTTTTTTTTTTTTTAAAGC